GACTGTCTGGAATAACCACAATGATGAACTGAAAGGGTTTTACTCACAAAAGGAATCTGAAAAGACAGCAGTGTAGGGACCAGCAGTTAGCGAAATGGCTATGTCGCTGGACTCCCACATAGTCAACCACGGTTCAAGTCCTGGACCCGGAGACTTAAACTCACGCCGGGTGCATGTGTGTGTGTGCCCAAGATCCCAAGAGGAGAATGGAGGAGAAGGGATTGTGGCATGGTCATCCCCCCTGGGTGATTTCTCGCCGTCTGTCTCTGTCTGGCGAGCGCATGTGGCCTATAGCAAAAACCTCTAAAAAAAAAAAAAAAAAGACAGCAGTGTAAACTGAATGGGTTTCTTCTTCTAGCTCTTTGTTAATATTTCTATTAAATAGCATTTGCTGGGTTGTTTTAACTTGACCCGTTTACATTTCCATGTCTTTGAGCCCTTGGAGGTTAAGATTCCAGTAGGACAGTTTCACAGCTATATCCACACAGCCAACAGCTAGCATGTAGCTTGGTGCTCATGTTGAAGTGAATACAATGTCTAGAGTTCAGAAGGATTCCTGGCAGCAAGCTTTGAGGTATGTTGTGGAAGCTGGGAGGGCAGACGAGGGGCAGAGAAGAAGAGGCAGGACATTACAGTGGTGAGAGAGGGCTCCTATTCCCCACTCTGTGTTCTAGACCCATCCAGAGAGAGCAGGGAGCCATCGCCAGGAATGTTTTCACACAATAGGGTAATAAGCTTATGGGAGATTAACTGAAAGGTGATCAGAGGAGAAAACTCGACTCAACAGATTCAAGGCCAAATTGATCATATAGATCTCTGCCTAGCCAAGGTTCTGGGGGTGGGTACTAGGGTTTACTTTGAGTTAATTGATGGTGGCTAGGTTGAAAGTTATCCTTCCAAGCTTTTGCTCTTCTGAGGAGTGGAAGAGGGAAGCTAGAAGCTCTCCAACACAGCTGCAAGAGAGAGATGGCTTTTTGATTGCTGTTTACTTACTTAAAAGGAAAATTTAACCTTAATTTTTCTTGAGCTGGTGGTTAGTGTAGTGGTTAAGGGAGCTATATATCCCACTGTGGTTTGAATCCTAGCCCTAGCAGCTTGAAAAATGCACCAGGCATGTGATGTATGCCCCAAATCTTTTTTTTTTTTTTTTTGCTATAGAGAGATTTCTGCTATAGGGTGCATGCACTTGGCAGAGAGACAGAGAGAAAGCAAGAAATCACCCCCAAGGGGGTTGGCCATGCTGCATTCACTTCTTCTCCGGTCTTGGGATTTTGGGCATGTACGCACATGTGCCCAGTGTGAATTTTAAGCCACTGGGTCTGGGACTTGAACCACAGTCAACTACATTGGAGTCCAGCAACATAACCATTATGCTATCTGCTGGCCCCTATGCCCCAAATCTTGACAGGATGGAGAAATGCATTGCAGTGTGAGCATATACTATAGAGGGGTACTTTCTCCCTCTCTGTGTCTTTCTTGTGAGTGCATGTGCCCTCTGACAATAAATATACAAACAAACAAATAAATAACAAACAAACCTCGGTTCAAGCCGTGGCATGATGGTTAAGGTGGCCAGATCCCAGGTGGCCAGCTCTGAGGCTCAAGTTCCAGCCCTAGGGGCTGGAAAAACACCATGAGCATGTGTGCATGCATGTCTAAAATCTCAAAAGGAGGGAGAGATGGAAAAGGGATTGAGGCATGACTATCCTCTCTGAGGATGCTTTCTCACTTTTCTCTCTCCTTCTCCCTGCCCCTGGTGAGTACATACATGGTCTAGCAAATTATATATAAATCCCAAAGTTATTATTTTTTTCTCAATTCCAAGAGTAATATAGGGAAACAAAGAGAGTAATCTACTATGAATCCACTCTGATCCCTGAACTTCAAATTTGCTAACTTTACAGTGATCCTCTTGCTCAGGGGCCACATAAGTCAAGGCGGTCTGCTTAAGCCTAACTCTGCACATTAGCATCTGCAGGTCAGGAGGCTTGAATTCAGAGCTATTTTCCCTGAGAAGGTGGTTTTCACTCAGAGTATATTTTAGTCCATTGTGGCTTCTATAACAAAATACCTTAGACAAGGCAATTTTAATTTTTTTAAGAGGTGTTTGCCATAGGGTGTGTGCACTTGCTGGAGAGAGAGACAGTGAATGTGATAGGGAACATGAGAAATCACTCCCCCAGGGAGGATGACCACATCACAATCCCTCCTTCTCCATTCTCCTCTCAGGATCTTGGGCATGCATGCATTCACCCTGTGTGATTTTTGGGGCAGGCATCCATCCCCCCTGTGTGATTTCAAAGCCACTGAGTCCGGGACTCAAACTGCAGTGGGCCATGTGGGAGTCCAGTGATGTAATCACTATGTCATCTGCTGTCCTCTAGACTAGGTAATTTATAAATAACAGAATAGAGGCTGGCAAGTTCAAAGTTAGGGAGTCAACAGATTCAGTGTCTAGTGAGGGCTTGTTCTCTGCTTCCAAAAAGGTGCCTGGTTACTGCAGCCTCACATGGTAGAAGGGGGGTAGCACTGTGTCCTAACACAGCAAATAGCTCCCTTCAGCCTCTTTTATAAAGGCACTAATCCCATTCATGAGGAACTCTCATGACTTATGTACTCAAAGGTCCCCATCTCATAAAACTATCACTTTGTGTACTAGGGGTTCAACATATGAATTTTGGGTGGACACCAACACTCAGACCATAGAAGAGTTTTTGCTTTTATTTTTTTTTTTTTGAGAGTTGGGGACTACAGGGGGTATGTGCACAGAATATCCCTTCTTCACATAACAGTTATTTAGAGCTGTTGCAAGGAGAAAGCCAGACCCCTGGCAGCTCCGTGTTCAACTGGCTTCTTCTCTTGGCCTATGCACTTATTTATTCATTCTATTATAAGATTTAAGCTTTTTCTATTTTTAAGGATCTTACACTTACAGCATTTCATTAACTTCTTTTAAAAAATAACTTGTGCCAGGCTTTATTATTTATATGTTGACTTTGTAATTTACCACTTAAGCAGTAGATATCTGTTGAACATTTATTATCTGTCTTCATGGTAGTAGGCAATGATACAATTATTCCTGGGCTTCAGATTCCTTTGGGTGTTCCATGGGAAAACTGAGCTGTTCTCTGTCCTTTCCCATCTAGTCCCTTGGGAAATGTTTTACCTAGACCTTTTTCATAAATTGGCATTATCCACTCAACTATTGTCAAGACTTGTTCTGCCTTTCCAGGAAACTGACCAAGATTTGCTCAGTGGCTGTGAAGTCATTTTCCCACCTGCTTGAAGTAAACATACTGAAGAAGATAAACTGACAGCTATAAGTACATAGTACATAAAAAAAGAAAGAAACTCAATAGATAGGCAGATTGTTTGCTTTTGGGGAGTACTTGTCATTTGAGGGGGTGAGTTTGTTAGATTATCTGTTTTTCCATTAAAAAATTATTATTATTATTATTATTATTATTTATTTTTTTTCTTGAGAGGTTTTCGCTATAGGGCGCGTGCGCTTGCCAGACAGACAGAGAGAGAGACATAGAGACAGAAAGCGAGAAATCACCCCCCAGAGGGGATGGTCACACCGCAATCCCTTCTCCTCCATTCTCCTCTTGGGATCTTGGGCACGCACACGTGAGTTTTAAGCCACCGGGTCCAGGACGCGAACCACGGTCGACTACATGGGAGTCCAGCGACATAGCCATTACGCTAACTGCTGGTTCCCGAAAAAATATTTTATTTAACTTTATTTATTTTAATTTGACCAGAGAATGACAAAGACAGAGAGAAAATGAGAAAGCAAGCCTCCAGGTCCAGGACTGGAACCACTGTCAGCCACGTGGGAGTCTAGCACCGTTAACCACCACGCTACCTGCCGGCACCTATCCTTTTCTCCATTTAATGACCAGGAATTGCTATGTCAGGGCTCTGAGGGTAATAAGGAACACCCCGTTTTTACTGGTCAGATGAATCATGTCTAGGCAAAGAAAGTTTTACAGGGCTTTGTAGAAAGAGAAAGGTACTTTGGGGGTACCCATATTTAGCTTGAATTCCCAGTTCTACTATTTCTTGATTGTAAGCCCTTTAACCTCTTTGAGTGTCTTCTTTCCCATTAATAAAAAATGTTGAGCATTCTGATTTTTTTAAAGAGGTTTTTGCTATAGGGTGCGTGCGCTCACCAGACAGACAGACAGAGACAGAGAGACAGAAAGCGAGAAATCCCCCCCCAGGGGGGATGGCCACTCTGCAATCCCTTCTCCTCCATTCTCCTCTCGGGATCTTGGGCACGCACACTCACGCACCCGGCGTGAGTTTTAAGCCACAGGATCCGGGATGCGAACCATGGTCGACTAGGTGGGAGTCCAGTGACATAGCCATTACGCTAACTGCTGGTCCCGAGCGTTCTGATTTGAGGAGATTAAAAGTAGGTAAAATGTATACACTGCACCTGGCACACATAAAATAAGATATTCAGTGGTAAAGCAGAAACAGAACTGCAAGTGAGTTTGTTATTTTTAAAATTCTTGGTCATCGTCAAAAATGTGCACAATACATATTTATAAAGGGGGTGACTTACAGGTGGCCCATTTCGCATAAAATTTCAAAGGACTATTTATTGCTTAAGACATTAGGCCTCTCCCAAACTGAGTCGTAACAGCCTGATGTATTTTTACCCTCACGCTCTCTAGTTTCCTTCTGAGGCTCCTTCCACTAGAAACAAACGAGACTATTGGCACATCAGAGAAGTCCTAGCTTGAAAGCAAAATCAGCCAGCAGGTATCTCCTTTAGATGTCTCTCACTTGGGCAGAGGGACACAGGCAAAAGACAAACACAAACACAAAAACGCCTAGGAGGTCTGCGGCAGGAAACGCCAGGGGCGGGGATAACAGAAGAGGAGAGAGGCGGGGCTGACAGCCCGAGTGCGGAGAGGCGGGCGAGTCGGCTGCCGGCCCTTCTGGCAGGCTGCGATTGGGTAAGACGGCAGGTGACGTAATACCCGCGCGCTCGGCGTCCAGCGGTCGCCGCTGCGTTTGCGCGAGGGAAGCTGGTTCGCCGCTGCGGCCGCCTGGAATTGTGGGGGTTGTGTCTGCTCCTCGGCTGCCTTGAGGGAAGCCGAAGGTAGGGGCGGTGAGGGCCGCCCGGTCCTGGAGCTGGGTGGGGGGACTGCCTGGGCCTTCGCCCGCCAGCGACCTTGGCGCCTTCGCAGCAGTGTTCCGGGGTCCCTACACATCCCCGCCCCCCGCCCCGGGGTCCCCATTGTGGGACATCCAAGTGGGTCCTGGGCTCTCAGCCAAGAGCAGCCTCTACGTTTCTCACTCATAAGGTCCCCAGTAGCCCCTTCAACACCAGGAGATGAAGCAGTGGGAGTCTGAGGCTGACTTTTGGCTCAGCATGTTTTAGTTTCCTTCCTTTTTTTCCTTCTCTCGGTCTCAGTTCTACATCTGTCCAAAGAGGGGGTGGATTAGGTGTTGATTTCTGAGACAGCTCCAGTACTGACATTCTGGTTCTGACCAGGGCATCCGAGTCTCTTCACCGTATGGAATTGCACCTGTCTCCTTGTATTACTATTTCCACTCTATCGCACGTTTTCCTTGGCTCTGGCAGATGTAAGACTTGCCTTTGACGTAGAGGTTACAGACTTTGGTGTGTCTTAGATCACCTAGAAGGTTTGTGCATAATCCCTATTTTCCATTCCCGGGGATTTCAGATAAAGTGGTGCCTGGGCACCTGCAGTCCCTACCTTAGGTGGTTCTCATTCCGGTGATCTTGGAATCCCCGCTTCCAGAATCACTGCTTCAGGAGGCGGGATCACTCGTGTCCCTGGAATCGGCTCCAGGTGGGAAAAGCCAGGAATCATGAAATACCCAACATCTGAGGAGCCAATGGGGCTTCCTTTGTGCTTGTAGGAACTAGCAGGTCCTTTGAGCCTTAAAAAAAATGTGTGTATGTATATGCACACACACATATATATTGTAGATATAGGTATTGGTGACCCATATGTAAGATCAGTTTTCTAATATTTTTAAATGTCTGGTTTGATTCAAGGCCAGCTGGCTTTCCAACCTCAAAAAACAAAACAAAACAAAAAAACAACGAAAAAAAACCACATCAAGCAGCTCAGAGGGATGAGGAGGTTATATGAACCCAGACTAGGTAGGCTAGAAGAAGAAACTCATGTGTTTATAAACAGTAATAGTGTTTTGTCAGTGTGAACGATGTTTTGTGTAATGCTATTAGAACCGATGTTTACATAACATGGGTCAAAACTTGGTCTGTGGTTTCAGTTGAGATCATAGCCCATAGGTATTTAAGATAGTGTTGTCACACCAGATTTATTTTAACCTTTCAGATGTTAAGTGAATTTAATCTGCCGATTAATACATGTGGTGTTCTGATGAAATTGGCAATAGAAAAGACTGCTTCCATTTTACAAGTGATGAGAATGAAGAATATGTTAGTGATGTGGCAGGAATAAGAAGTTGCCTGGTGTTTTGATTTCCACTTTCTTTTCCTTCCCTACTGTTTTCCGAAGGCTAACTATTGGGTCGTGGGGAAAGTCATGATGCAGTTTTGCATAGAAAAGCAGAAAAATACATCATGACTTTCCTGACAACCTAATATTAACTTGCTTCTCTGCAGCAGCCGATTTTGAGTCCTGGTGCGTTTCATTGGCAGAAAAAACAGGCCAGTTAAATGAAACTGAAAAGTAACAAAATGGATTAAAAAAATAACAAACATGTCAGAATTTAATTCTCCCAAATGACTGTTGTTCTCTTTTAGAGTGGTATGTGTAGGTACGTGTGGGCAGTGGGGATTGAGAGTGGTGTCACCTAAGTGAAATGGCCACTGTTCAAAGTACTTTTGAAAATCCACCTTTGGAAGTGGTTTCATAGTTGTTGTTGTTGTTGTTGTTTTTTGCGATAGGGCACGTGCACTTGCCAGAGAGAGAGAGAGAAACAGCAAGAAATAATCACCCTCAGGAGGGATAGCCATATTGCAGTCTCTTCTCCATTCTCACACATGTGCCTGGCGTGAGTTTTAAGCTGCCGGGTCTGGGACTTGAACTGTAGTTAACTATGCAGGAGTCCAGCGACTTTTAGCATAACCATTATGCTATCTGCTGGTCCCACAGAGACTTTTTTTTTTTTTAAAGTTTATTCATGAAAGAGAGTGGGCTTCACACACACAGAAAGAGAGACAGGGACCCTCAACAGGGCCTGATCACACCATTAACTCCTTTCCACAGCCCTCCAGCTCATCAGGATCCTGGCAAGTGCAAACCTGGCATGTTTTCAGGTCAACTCAGGTTCTGAACCTGCAGTTGGCCATGTGGCTCCTAGCCCTTCTGTTCAGTGTGCTGTTGCCTATGCCACTGAGATTGGTCCTCAGATATTTTTGAACCATGTGAGAAATCAGTTTCATTAATACATGATACCATACCATACCATATTTATATATATATATAAATATATATACTCCCAATGGCACGGCTAAACAAGCTTGTCATCTGATTTGGTTCAGATGAGTTAGTTAGCAGTTCTTTTCAAGTGGAAATGCTGGATTTTTGAAGTTTGGCAAGCATGAGTTTTGATTCTGAGTCTACCACTGATTAGTCATATGACCTTGGACAAGTTACTTTACTTAGGCTCAGTTTTCCACTGCATAAAAATGGGGGACCAGCAGTTGGCGTAATGGCTGTGTTGCTCCCATGTAGTCGACCACAGTTTAAGTCCTGGACCCAGTGGATTAAACTCTCACCAAGTGCTTATGCATGTGTGCCCAAGATCCTGAGAAGGAGAATGGAGGAGAAGTGATTGCAGCGTGGCCATCCCCCCTGGGGAGTGATTTCTCACATTCTGTCTCTGAAAAAAAAAAAAAAAAAAAAAAAGGAATAATACTCCACAAAGCATATTACTGCCTCAGTGAGGTAGTACACATGAAAGCCCTTGGGACAGAGAATGCAAAAAGTGTTTGTTTTCACCCTCAAAGAATGAAGGTTTACTATTAATGACAGTGTTTAGAAAAACATAATAATCTCTAAAGACAAATTGGACCTTTTTCCAAATAGGTAGATACCTTCCAATTCTCTTTTTTCATGTATAGGTGGATTCATACTCTCACCTGCTCATCCTACCTCTTGTCTTTTTCTTCATTTTCTGTCTTTTTCTAAGTGAAGCTATGTTACAGAGACTGTCTGCCAGTCTCTTCATGTAAGCCTCTTTTCAGGAGAGCTAATCTGAACATTCTTTCAATGCTAGTCCCTTGGTCATGTATTCCTGTTTTTTTTTTTTTTTTTTTTTTTTTCTGGGGCCCCAGCTGGTGCTTAGATCACGCTCTGTAGCACAGGCCTCTCTAACTTGTGGATTTGGTGTCAATTTGGAGACCTGTCCTTGTGGAGCTAATCTTTTCTCTTTCTGAGCTAGGATGAATACTTTATCCTTCTTTGAATCAGCCTTAAGCTGCAGGCCTTAGTCTTCTACAGTGGAGAGCTTCATATTTTAATTATATGTTGTCTAAAGAGGGAATATCTTACCCTTTTCTTCATTTACTTTTCATGAAGGATTTCACTGCTGAAAAGAGGAGGAAGAGAAGAGCCTATTGTCATTCAGGTGAGGTTTTGGGTAACCCCTGATTCCTAGCATCAACAGTAACTTTGTCAGTGGTCAAAAACCTTGTAAAAGATTCAAGCTATTCAGGCACATGTGAAGAATCTCATGGAGGTTTCTTGACTTGTGTGGAGTTACACCTTGTATTCTTATTTGTGCACTTTTCTACCCTTGAGCCAGTGAGAATCCAGTAGCAACAGAACAGTGTTCAGCGCATAATGTAGTTCCTTCAGGTGGCACCAGGCAGCTCATAGACAAAAGGTGTGGTTGTGCTGCCTAGCTATGTCTGCCCTCGTCCCAATACAGCACTTGACTTTGCTGTTGTTAAGGAAATGGCATAGTCAGTGAATGAGTAACATTTTATGCCAAGACCTTAGTGGAGGTCAGGGATAGAGAGCTCTGAGAATACAGCCGAGTAAATATAAAATGCCATTCCTGTCTCAGGAAAGCTGCTCAAGAAGGGCTATGAATTCTTCATGACAACTACTATGTTTCTTGGTGTCACCTCACATGCAAAATGAAAATACCTTCATCAGCTTCTCCCTTGAGAAGAGTAAACAGCCATTCCAGTTTGCTCAGGACAGAGGGATTTCCCAGATGTGGTACTTTCAGTGCCCTAACTTAGGCAAATCAGGTCACCCTGCCTGTAACCATTATGCAGATAATGAATGTGAGCCCTTTGGGTTCGTCTAATCAAGTTGTTTCTCAATCTTTTGTTCATTAGCATGTTTTAAGACATTCTCCCAATTGTCTAGTTCCCCATGGATTTTTTTATATTTTTTTTATTTGCTATAGGGTATGTGTGCTCATCAGAGAGAGAGAGGGAGAAAGTTAGAAAGCAAGCAAGCAAGCAAACCAGGTCTAGGACTTGAACCATGGTCGGCCATGCGGGAGTCCAACACCTCAACCATCATGCCACTTGCTGGCCCTGCATGGCTTTTTAAAAAAAGAATAATTTATTTAATATAGTTAATTAATTAATTTAAAAAATAATTATTTATTTATTTTAATTTGACCAGAGAGGGACAGAGTAAGAGATAGAGAGGAGAGAGGGAAAGTGAGAAAGCAAGCTACCAGGTCTAGGACTCAAAATGCGGTAGGCCATGTGGGAGTCTAGTGGCCTAACCAACACGCCACCTGCTGGCCCATCGTTATTATTTTTATATTTGCTATAGGGCACATACACTCACCAGAAAGAGAGAGTGAGTGAGCAAGTGAGAAAGCAAGCTGCCAGGTCCAGGACTTCCACGATCAGCCATGTGGAAGTCTAGCACCCAAAACACCATGCCACCTGCTGGGTCTCCCCATAGATTTTAATACCATAGATACACTGTATCTGTTTATATATGTGGTCTTTTGCATGGCCACAAACTATTGTAATGTCTAAGATTCTTCTCCCCTAAGAATCAACTGTTACCCCTCTGGGGTGATATTGTACTCATTGGAAATACATCATCTTATCCTGTATTTTTTCTCTAATATGTTCACCAAGGCTTGCTTTTTTTTTTTTTT